CCCCAGCTCCTCACACAGGCACTCACACCTAATCCCTCCAGCTCCTCACACACACTCACACCTAATCCCCCAGCTCCTCACACACACTCACACCTAATCCCCCCAGCTCCTCACACAGACACTCAACACCTGTGAGTGAGGACAAAGCATCCACCATTCAGTTTTCTGTCACTTCCACCAAAACTCCTTCCCAATATTGCTGCCAGTCATATTTGGTCCAGAGAACACGGCATGAGGGTTTTAGTGGTTTATGGGCACCAGGTTTATTAAGACCAGATGACAGCACCCTGCCTGAGGCTGAGTCCGTGATGGGGATCTGGTGACAGTGCGCGCCTTTGGTTCTACTTGCTGTACCACGCGACCTCAGTGACCGCCCAGAACACCCGTCTTGGTCCAGCACCCTCGGGAAAGGGCGTGGGAGAAGAAATGCGCGTCACTCAGGGCCTGGCGCCCATAAACCTCTAGACTCGCCCCTGAGCCTCCGTGGCAGGGCCGTGAGGGCGCCGGCCAGCAGCACGGGCGCCCTGCGCAGTCACCCCGCTGGCTCCTGTCGGCCGTCCGTCCGTCCGGCCGTCCGTCCGGCGGGTCCTGCCCGCTGCCCTCCTCGTGGCTGCTGGCTGTGCTGAGCCCCGCGCTCTGGCCGTCCTGCGTTCCTGCTAGCTCTCCGGGAGGCACTCCCGCCCCTGCCCCGCAGCAGGGTTTGGCTGCGTTGTGCTTTCCTCCGCAGGGAGGCAGCCCCGGGAGGTGCGGAATCTCAGGCAGGGCCAGGTGGTTGGTGTTTGGGTGGGAAGGCAGTTTAACTCTCCACGGCTGTTTGACACTGTCACTGTGGCCTCCTCCTGACTTGCTGGCCGCCTGAACTGCTTTAGTCTTTAGTCTTTGAGCAAGAGCACGCGACCGCAGAGCCCGTCCCTAGCAGCCAGGAAGACCGTGGCCGAGTGGAGAAGCTGGGCGCGCTGCGGTGACCAGCTTGAAGTCTGGCCTCAGAGCGCCTGTTTTCTCATCACAGCCCTACAGGGGTGAAGGTGAGATCGGATCTTGGCTAAAGGCCATAATTTGATCCTTAGGAGCAATTTGCACCCTGGACGCTTGATATTCTTAAGCAGTGAGGGATGGGAGAAAGGAGGAGACAAATTTAATCGTGGGTCTGGGATGGGGCCTCCTGCGGCTCCTCCTGAGGTGGAGGCCCAAAGGTCCCCGGAAGACTCTTGTTAGGGCTATGTTTCTATCCAGGCGGGAGAAGTGCACATGAATTCCCACCCCCAACACTGGGTGGGGATTAAGTTCCAAAGTGAGTTTTGGAGGGGACAAAAATGTTAGAACCACAGCTGCAGTTAAAATGTGAAAGCAAATGGGCAAAATTATTTTAATATCTTATTGATCCCAGTGTATCTAAAAGATGATCATTTCAACATGAAATCAATATAAAAATAATTATTATTATTATTATTTATTTATTTTTTTTTTGGCGGAACTGGGGATCAAACTCAGGCCCTTGCGCTTGCCAGGGAAGTGCTTATTCTACTGACCCATCTCTCCAGCCCCAATACAAAAATTATGAATGGGGTGTTTTTGCTTCTTACTCCGCCTCCGGAATCCCTAGCCATCCGGGGCCCTGCAGGCGCTCAGGAGCCATGTGTGGGCTGCCAGCTCCCACGCAAATGGTGCAGCGCTAGAAGGGGCTGGTGTGACCTCCCGGTCACCCAGCCAGCCAGGGCTAACCCAAAGCGAAGTGCACTTCCTGAGCGACACACCAGTTAGTGGAAGGGCAGCCCAGAGCCCATGATTCCCCTGCCTGAAGCTCAGGAGCACTGCCCTGGGGCTGCTTCCTCCAAGGTGCTGCCCTCCGCAGGTCTCTCCTTTATTTTACAGAAGCTAAAAGCTGCCGCTGGAAGGGATCCAGCGGCAGACCAAGGCAGGCAAGACAGAGGTTTTCTTTATATCTCCGCAGAGATAATTTTTTATGACTTGTCACCCTTGTCCCCAGAAACTCATGGTTTCAAACCACCAAAAGCTGATTCCTCTACTCAGTGGTTCTCAGTGGAAGTGTCTGGGAGCGTCATCTGTGGAGCCTGTGTTCCCTGTGCCACCATGCTGCGTGCTAGGGTCACACAGATTGCTTCACTTTTTTTTGAGGCAGGGTCTCACTGTATGTAGCTCAGCCTGGACTCGACCTCACTTTGTTGCCCAGACTGGTCTTGAGCTCAGCACAATCCTCCTGTCTCAGCCTCCTGAGTGCTGCGTTCTAGGTGTGCAACACCACACCTGGCTGCTTTGCTTTCATAGTTCCAAATAACTCTGGTGCACACATCCAGTCACAAAGGCCTGCTAACTACAGGTAGCTTCTGACGTCCCGCCCCAGACCCTCGTAGGCTGGGAGCCGGCCAGTCAGTCAGGAGCCTGGTCTTAAGGAGGGTTCGGCTTTGAGCACCTCCCGGGGTGGGGCTGTCGGCTTGCTTCTGGCTCTTTCTCTGCACTCAACAACGTTCTTCAGTTTCATTTCCTGATCTCCAGGCCTCACCTGGAGTGCTGTCACCGCCGGCCAGCCAGAGACACACAGGCAGGAATGCAGCAGGTGAGACTCGCTGTGGTGGCCGTGGCTCTGTGTGTGACTCTTCGAACCTCAGAAGGTAAGCAGGGGCGACCTTGGCCTGCAGCAGGAAGGCGGCGCCTCCCAAGTTAGGGTGGGCAAAGCAAGGGGAGCAGGAATCCTGCAGGAGAGTGGCCTGGGTTTAAATTCTGCACTCCTGAGAAATTTCAGGAAGGAGCCACACTTTACCTGGAGTATTAGTAGCGTGGTGCTGGTGCGTGAAGTGCAGCTTTGAGCTGTTTCATCCTCTCACTAGTCGCTGAATATCCCACCGAGAGGCTGGGTAAAGACCTTACCACCAGTCCGTCTGCCAAGCTACCTGGACATAGGTGTGCACAACCCTGGAGGAACAGACAGACAGACGGGCCCGTGGCGTCGGGGCCAGGTAGGCTGCACATATCCTGAGCAGGCAGCCTCAGAGAAAACTGAAAACTGCAACTTCGGTCTGGGTTGAAGAAAAGGAAGCCAGACAAAGGTAGAGAACTAGGCAAATTATCATCAAAGAGAATTTAGCGAAGAGTTTCTGGTGTACAAGTGAAGAACGTAACTGCCTTCACATCAGAGGGGACCTGTGGAGCACCAAGACTGTTTCTAAGAAGCTCTGAATATAGAGGAGTGTCAGACTTGCCTGGTGCTTCTTTTCCAGTCTTCTTAAGCTTTACCCTAAACAGATTCTCCTTGAGCCTGGAGTAGAAGTCAGCCATATACTGTGTTTGATCTGCCTTCCAAAAAGTTGAGCTAGCATTTTATTTGTTTATTTATTTTTGGTGGTACCTGGGATTGAACTCAGAACCCTGCACTTGCCAGGGAGCCAGCATTTTAAAATGTAGATTTCAGCTGGTGTGATCCTAGCACTCAGGAGGCTGAGGCAGGAGGATCACTGTGAATTTGAGCTCAGCCTCGGCTATGCAGTAGGTTCAAGGCCAGCCTGAATTACAGAGCTTGTTTCAAAAAACAGACAAAAAACAAAACAATAAAATAACAGACTTCCCATGTATATTGCCACACACACACACACAAACTGAACTTGGAGCTTCTCTTAGGAAATCGGGTCTAGAGGTTTCGGATACGGCTCAGTAGCACAGTGCTTGCCTAGCACAGCTGGGCTCCGAGCCCCGTCCCTGCCGCACCGGCCTGGCAACGACAGCTCGGCAAGAGCTGGCAGGAGCAGGCTGCCCTCCGTCCCTTTCCTCTGCAGTTCACCTTATCCTGTGAGCTGCCTGGATCCTAAGTAGGCAATTTGCTTAGGAACCTCACTTAATGCAATTATTGGACTTAAATAACCAGGGAGAGAGGATAATCTTGCCTTCATTTTTGTCTATCTCCTATCTATCTATCTATCTATCTATCTATCTATCTATCTATCTATCTTTTTTTTTTTTTTTTTAAGGAAGGAAGGTTTATTTAGCCCACAGTTTGTGGAGGTTTCAGTCCATAATCAGCTGGCTCCGAGACAGGGTGACACATGGCAGAAGGGAGCTGTTGATGGTAGCCGAAAACAAGAGCAAAAAGGCAGGAACAGCGGCAGAGAGGCGGAGGCCAATTGTTGTCTATCTTATCAAGATAAACACAAAAGTTCGTCATCTTTACATTTCTGTACCAGTCTTCGAGGACATTCAACACTGACATTTGAGGACCTTCCTCGCTGTCTCTTAAAGGTCTACTGCAGTGGTGGGGAGCCTATAGCATGCGTTCTTGGGTTTCCTTTAAGACAAAGGATGCTGATGTGTGTATGATTTTTTCGACCACAGCTCAGTATTCAGGGTTGATTGTAATATTGCCCCGTGATAACAAAAGTGGCTTGTGGCTGCAGTTCTGGCTCTTGGTCTCGCCCTCACTGGCCTAACCACTCAGGCTTCTCTCCTAGTTCTGGCAACTCTGCCAACAAAATATCTCATGCACAGCTCTGGAAGTGAGGCATATCCCTGGCCGAAGTTCCTGATCTATTTCTAGCCTCTTTAGAGTAAGACTCTGTTAGACGATAAAGGGAAAGACAGCTGGCCGGGTAGGGCAGCCACAAGGAGAGCTCTGCCTTCCCCTCTACCCAACAGCGGGAACCCGGGGGGTGGGGGGGGAGGCAGCAAAAGGCAGAAGGGCTCTAAGGTGCAGGTGGTGATGATCAGGGGAGTGAAGAGACCAGTCTGGCGCTTTTGTTGATACGCTGGGGACACAGGATAATCACACCTGGAAACCCCAGCCTCCTGCCATTTGAAAATAAGTAATGGTGAGTTTAAAAAAAAAAAATACATGAAATAGGTCTGAGAACAGCTGGGAACTATGAGGGCAGGGCACTGCTTTCCTTAGCAAACTTTGGGTCAGAGTGTGTGTTGCCCATGGCCAACACTGAGTAATGCGGGCTTGAGGGAGGGAGGAAGAGGGAGAGCAGGTGGACAGGAGGGAAGGAAGCAGGGAGCCCTCAGCAACCCAGGAAGGAGCTGGGCAGCCTTGGAGTCACTGCAAGCTGGAGGTGGGGACGTGGGCTATGCCAGTAGGGCACTCGGAGAAACACACTTTGTGTTTTCAGGCAGAAAGCTGTTTCACTATCTTAATGGTGTCTTAAATGGCTATCTGATGTGATAACTAACCCAAGGCACTCTGTGCCAATCAGGAAGTAGCTGACTTTATTACTAATTAAAAGCCCTGTATTCTACCCAGAGGCAGGGCACATCTGCGATGTGGCAGTTGGCTCTTAAATCACAGTCCTCTGTCCATAAAAGTGTCTCTTACCCAATTGCAGTGGCTCTGAGCCAGGTTTTCAAATCCACCATGTAGGATGTTGTAGGCCTGATGTTTGGATGGTACGTTGATGCTCCACTTGCCTCCAGTAGAGGAAGTTGAGAATTTTGTTTCTTTGAGCCCCAAACAGCCTTCCCACCGACAACCTACTCAGTCTTTAGTGCAGCCCCTCAACACAGACACTTGTTGGAGGCTTGCTACTTATACCCCAAAAGAAAGGCTTCTCTTTTGCACGTTTTATAGGACATCTAGGGCTCCCAAGTGCGCACATTCATGCCTCAGAGCTGCTCTGCCGAGCTGCACTGTCCATGTTGTCAGCAGCGGCCTGCACCACTGACCCGTGAATCTGCCTGCCTTGAGTTTCTCTCCAGATGCATCATCCCACCCTGCAGGGAAAGCACTGCGTGCAGATTCCCTAGGTCCTCTGTCAGAGCTGGATCAGGGTTCTGTAGACTTGGTTCAAAAGCCAGCCATGTCGATAAGGCAGCTCTGAGGTTTGTGGGGGCTTGTAATTGCCCTTTTCTGTGTCTAGAGAAAGTGTGACTAAGGTCTGGGCTCCTTTTAAGGGCAATACTATGCTCTTAATGTTGAACTTTAAATTAACTGTGTGACTTGAACAAGCATAAGGCCAGGGATGAATCCCTTGAACAATTGTAAACCTTTTCTGTAAATAAAAAACCAAATTTAAATAAAAATATTAATATAATACAACAGTAAAGGTGTGCCTGATAAAAGAATTACTTCTTTAAACAAACATAGGGCAATGCTTGAGGTCCAGGGTCGGCAAGTCTAATGCATACACTGTCGGGACAAAAGGAACCACGCTTGCTTATCACCTTTTTCGGTGTAAATCTGGGTATGGTTTTACTTTCCTTAGCATGAACGTGTTATAAAGTTTGCTTTGTTCTTTTCCGATTGGCTCAGGACCAATTAAGATAGCATTGGATTTAGGTAACTGCGCTAGGATAAGCACAAAGAAAAATTCAAACTCCAAGTATGATGTGTCTGGATGTGCCCCAGAGCCTCACGCAGTCACGGGAGTGCGCTCCTGGAGCTTGGGATGGATCATGGCGTGGGGGCTGGGGATGGGCAGCCTGCTCACAAACAAGGGAAGGACGCAGGCTGCTGCTGCTCTTCCCTCCTGCCCTGTGCCCCTCTGCCTTGGAGGCAGGAGAGTAGGGACTGAAACCTCCACAGACAGTGAGCTAAATAAACCTTTCCTTCCCTGACTTTGGGTGTCGGTATTTTGTCCCAGCGATGAGAGAAAGGTGGCAAGACACTCCCTGTGCATTATCCTACAGTGGTTCTTCGGAATAGCCAGGACATAAAGATCATCATTAAATGATGTATAAAACCTTGGTAGGACTCCGGGATACTGGGACTGCATCCAAGGGTTCCTTCCCAAGATCTATGCAAGGCTACTGGAGAAATGCTGGCAGCCTCAGCTTGGAAAAACGTATGAGCTTTGGGCTCTGGACAATAAGGCGGAATTCTCCCTACAGGAGCTTGGGTTCTTGTATTAAGTTCTCTGAGACCCAGCTTTCTTCCTGCACAGTAGGACACCTCAGTGACCCAGGGCACCTTCACGACTGAAAGCAGTGTGTAGAGGGTCTCACAGGTGAGCGTGCTCACGCATCGTTGTGCTCATGACCTGTCCTCTGCCTCCCACAAGTTTCTAATTTTGTAAAAGTGAAATGACCAAAAGTGGGGGATGTGCGTGTAGCTCTACGAGGGAGTCCTTAGCAGGGTCAAAGTCCTGGGTTCAAACACCAACACCAAAAATTAAAGTAATTAATAAGATAAAACAAGAAACACTTACAAATGGA